CCTTTTGTTTCATGTGCTTTAATTGCCATATCTAAGAAGCTATTGTTAAATATTAAATCCTGAAGCATTACACCTCTGTTCTCTTCTAAGTGCTGTATGATTTTATTTCTTTTTTAAAAATCATTTTATTGGGGCTCATACAACTCTTATCACAATCCACACATAAATCAATTGTGTAAAGTACACTTACACATTCGTTGCTCTCATCATTCTCAAAAGTCTCGCTCTCCGCTTGGGCTCCTGTAATCAGCTCCTCATTTTTCTCCCCTCCCCCATCCCCGCTCCCTCCTCCCTCATGAACCCTTGATAATTTATAAATTATTATTTTATCATATCTTACGCTGCCCAGCGTCTCCCTTCACCCAATTTTTGGTTTCCATCCCCCAGGGAGGAGGTTATATGTAGATCCTTGTAATCGGTGCCCCCTCTCTACTCCCCTTCCCTCTGCCCTCCCGGTGTCACCAATCTCACCACTGGTCCTGAGGGGTTCATCTGTCCTGGAATCCCTGTGTTTCCAGTTCCCATCTGCGCCGCTGTGCATCCTCTGCTCTAACTAGGTTTGCAAGGTAGAATTGGGATCCTGATAGTAGGGGGGAGAAAGCATTTAAGAACTAGAGGAAGGTTGTGAGTTTCATCAATTCTACACTGCACCCTGAGTGATTCATCTCCCCACTACCCCCCTGCAAGGGATGTCCAGTTGTCTACAGATGGGCATTGGGTCTCCATCATGCAATCCCCTCATTCATGATCATCTGATTTACACCACCACCACCACCCCCACCTTTGGTGCTTGATACCTCCCCTAGACCCTTCGTGATCACACATGCTGATGTGCTTCTTCCATGTGGGCTTTGTTGCTTCTGGGCCTTTAATCCATTGTGGAAGGTACCCTAGTGACTTAGTGACTTACATATTGAGTTTCTAACCTCAAGCAGTTCGAACCTAACAGCTCCATGGGAGAAAGATGAAGCTTTCTGCTCTCATAAAGATTTATAGCCTTGCAAACCACCTAATCTATAGGTGCGATGTGAATCAGAATTGACTCAATATTAATGAGATGAATCCATTTTGAGTCAATTTTCATGTATGGCTTGAGGTAAGTTTGTTTGTTTGTATAAAGAGACTATTCATTCCCCATGGTGTGAATTAAATACCCTTGTCAAAAATCCACTGATCATACATGTGTGAATTTATTTCTGAACCCTCACTTCAGTCCATTGGTCAAAATGTCTTCCATTATACCAGTACCAGACTCTTTTGATTGCTGTAGATTTATAGTAATGTTTTTTAAATTACATTCTCCTCCTTTATCTCTCCCTGCCCCCATGATTACTTAGATTTGGGGTTCCTTGAAATTCAATATAAATATGAGATTTGGGTTTTCTATTAAAGAATTTGTTAGAATTTTTATGGATATTGTATATAATTGAAGTAGTTTAGATAGTCTTCCATTAAGTCTTTAAATCTATGAACACAGAATATGCTTCTGTTTGTTTTCCTTATTTCAACAATAGTTTATAGCTCTCAGTATGCAAAATTCACTTCTCTTGTTAAATGTACTCCTAGGTTTTGTTTTTAAATTATCTCTAATTTTTGTCTTTGTTGATTTCATTGATATTTTTAAAGCATACCAACTTTTATTTTATAGATTCTCTTTTTTTCTATTCAGTATTTCATTTTTCTATTCTCGGAACTATGTCCTTTCCCCTCTTCTGGCACTGTTGAGCTTCATTTGCTCTTCTTCTTCAAGCTCCTCAAGTTTACAGTTAGGTTACTGATTTTAGATAGTTCTTCTTTTTAAATGTAGGTGCTTACTACTATGCATTTTCTTTTGAGCATATTTTTGCTGTGTCCTATAGTTTTGGTATGTTGCTCCATATTCCCTGAATTCCCTAGATTTCTTTTTCAACTTGGTGGGAAAATATTGTTGTTGTTGTTAGTGTTTAATATTTACTAAGTCTAAGAGAGTAATAGTTTGGAATCTAATGTTATAAAATATAATTCTAAAAATTTTATTGTAATATGTCCAAACAATTTGATTTGAAGCATGTCAAGATAAAAGCAAACATGAATATCACATTCTGGTTGTTCAAGTTGATAAATTAAACCGATAGTGAAGACTAAATCATTTTCTCAAGATAAAGCTAACAAACTGAAAGCACCACAGAGACAAACTAGGTGGATGTAATGCTTCTAGGGTACTGTGGCTTGCTTAAAATTTCTCCTACTACTTCATAGAGTGTTTTTTTTCCTCTTTTCCTTCCTCTCTGGAACTGGGTATTATTGCTCTGTTATATTTGTAGTTTAGCCTTGTGGTAAGGAACAAACATATTGATATTGATTATTTCAGCAGAAACTTTTAAAGAGACTAAACCTTGGAGGCAATTGGTCCTGCCACTGTTACTCATAAGAGAGTCATAAATCTCAAGTTTTCCTATCTCTCTAAAACAAGAATCATCCCTAATTTCTATGCAAATTAGGGTAGACTTTCTAATGAATGTAAAATATTAGTTTAAACCTCTATTAGTTTATGTTGTTTTTATTACTAATGAGGTTGAGGATCTTTTTGTATATTTACTTACTATTTGTATCTTTTGTTAAATGACTGTCTTTTGCCAAATAAAAAGAGATAATAGCACAATAAAAGAAGCCTGGTAGAGCAGATGAAGGAGGAGGAGGAGCACATCCTGGCCCACCAGGCCTAGAGAACAATGATCCCAATTAGAGCAGCCAGTCCACCCAGAGGACCACATGGCCGGCCCCACTATGAAACATGACACCCCTCACTGACCCATAGCCCTACAGGGGACAGCACCGGAGACACAGTGTGGTAATTGCACCCAATCTGATCCCGCTACTCCAAGGCAAAACACCAAGGGGATGCAAAAGAACAGCAAGGGAATGGAGCAGCGAGGTCCCCAGGGAATGCTGAAGGTGAATTTTGGGGCCAGGGCATGGTGCCCCAAAAGACTGGGCTGGAAAACACTCCTAAAGGCCAATAAATGATCTTGAACTAACTACAAGCTTTTCTTTCTTGTTGTGCTTTGTTGTTGTTTTTTTGTCATTGGTTTGTTGTTGTTTTGTTGTATATGGTTGCTTGGTTTTGCTCTGTCTTGTTTTTGTGCATGTTATTATCTCCGCAGGTCTGTCTAAATAAGATAGTCTGGATGAACAATCTGGAGGAGAAAACAATGGGACCGACAGTTCCGGGGGTACATGGGAGATGGGGAAGTGGGGGGAAAGAAAGTGGTGTTAACAAACCCAGGAACAAGGGAACAACAAGTGATCCAAATTGGTGGTGAGGAGGGTGTAGGAGGCCTGGTGTAGGGCATGATCAAGGGTAATGTAACCAAGAGGAATTGCTGAAACCCTGGTGTGGACTGAGCATGATATTGGGACAGGAGGAACGTCAAGGGAAATAGGAAAGAGCTGGGAGGCAAAGGGCATCTATAGAGGTCTAGATAAAGATATGTACATATGCAAATATATTTATATATGAGGATGGGGAAATAGATCTATGTGCCTA